GAAGGGGAGAGGGGGAGAGAGAGAGAGATTTGTTGTTCTACTCATTTATACAGTCACTGATTCTTGTATTTGTCCTGACCAGGGATTGAACCTGCAACCTTGGTGTATCGGGATGATGCTATAACCAAATGAGCTACTCGGCCAGGGCCCCAACATGTTCATTTTAATATTAACTTTAGTAGCAATAAATATAATTGTGGCTAACATGTAATAAGCATATATGTGCCATACCCTATGCTAAGAATCCATATGCATTATATCATGTAATCTTTATAATTGTTTGATGATGTGGGCATCATTATGATTTCCATTTTACAAAAGAGGAACCTGAGGCTCAGAGAATTAAGTACTTTTCCCAGGTTTTAAGTGATGGAGTTGGTATTTGAGCAAAGCCAGGTCAGCCTTATTGCAGGCTCTGAGTTCTTGATAACAGAGGCGACATCTGTACAAATTTGAGATTGAAGGGTGCCTCCTGAGCACAGTCTTACAGAGACTGTAGTGGGAAGGGGGACATGGGAAGAAAGAAAGGAGCAAAGGGAAAATCCCAGGACCCATGCCACAGTGTCTGCCCCTTACCAGATAGCCTCCAGGTCATGCAGAGGATCAGCAGGATGACACAGCCCACCAGCAGAATGGAGATACCTGCGATGAACCCATATACCCACAGGGGTACGTACTCTGTGGCGAGTAGAACAGCATGAGTGATGTGGCTGGGAGGCCTGTTATACCATCCCTGAGGTCCCCAGCCCTGACACCCAGCCCCTAGGCTAGCCTCTCCAGCCTGCACCATGACATGCTGGTGATCTCACCCACCCCTGGGCAGCCTTGTGTGCCTGGCTCCGCACCAGGCTCAATCAGGGACTTCTCATGGGGGCACCGAGGAAATGTCCCTTTGGGCCTCCTGCAGCACACTACGGGAAGAAGCAGTGGCCTTACCTGCAATCCGGTCTGCTATGAGAACAAAGGGAAATAATATTTTAATTATTAATAATAATCACAAAACCATCACTGATATCCACCGAGAGCCTGCTAATGACTGTGGCCCTATGCAACCAGTTTAGATACAGGTTAAACTTGATGAAACCATCTACACGAAACACCTGAGTTTCTGGTCTACTAAGTGATGCCCCAGCCCTCACTTGGGAGGCTGGGGTTTGCATCTAGTCCAGTGCAACACCTGCTGCTTTTTGCTCAATTTTGACTGTAGCCACAAGTTAGGCTGCAGATAGCTTCTGAACACGCTCTGCCACTTCCTTTGTGTATGGTCTTGGACAAGTTACATATCTCTGTGCCTCAGTTTCTTCATCTATGAATCTGGGGGAGGGAGTCTCTACTTCTTGGTACTATGGTTCACAACTTATGAAGATTTTGTTCTGTACATGGTATATAACTCTTTGACAGTCACAAAAGCTGAGGATCAGAAAGATTAAGTACTTTGCCCAAGGCTACACAGCTAATACAAGGCAGTCAGGAGTCCAACCAGGATAGTGTCTCTCTATTATAGCCCTGTACCACAAGCCTGAATAACTCTAAGTTAAACTCTGCCTCCACTCTTAGAACCAGGTCAGGGTTCAGCTCAAGCTGTTGACCTTCATCCATTCTCAATGCAAGTATGTTCCAGGACAGCTATCTGCTTCCTACCTGGAATTTTTGGGCAGAAGGCAGTTGCGGAGTGTCTAAGGCAGTCATTCAGACAGCTGCTAAAGAAGGGCTGGATCTGTGAGACCAGAGAAGGGCAGGGAAGAGAGGGACTCTGAGAGGCTGGAAGACACAGGGCTCCCACCAACACCTTCCTGACAGAATAGTAATGGATTCTGGCTGACTCTCCAGTATCTCAATGTGGCTGTTAGGTAGATCACCCACCACCGAGAGGGGGGTCAGAGGAGCCCTGCCCAGGCAAGGCTGGGAGCACGGGACTGCCAGGCAGGGAGTCCCAGGTGGTAGTGGTGTTGGGTCCTCAGAGAGCACCAGTTATGAGCTGCCCTTCTTCCCTCCCTCACCCCTCCGGAAGGAATGGCCATCTGTGCATGCTCTGTTATACCACACTCACCCACCTGCACTAGGTGGCGGCAGCACCAATTAAAGTTTGGTAGGGTGAACGTGAAGTTGGATCGCTGGTGGAAGTCCTCTCGTGTCGGCTAAAGAGAGGGGAGAGGATAGGTGAGGCTAGCTGGACCAGAGCTGGCCACAGTGCCGCAGGAATGGGTAACAACGTTCCCCACTGCTGTCAGTGTGCCTCAGGAAGGCCACAGGAGAAACGCCTTCCATGTTTCTGCTCCAGAAAACTACATTTCCCTAGTGCATAGAGTCTGTTGTTAACTTATGAACACAGCTAGTGACTGGTATTTCCCTCTTTACTTTGGTTGCTAAGGATCGTGGAGACAGATCTGTGCTCACCCCAGCGGTGTGGCATACATTTTCTGTACTCATAGCACCCTGGTTTCATCTTATTGCCTCATCTTTATTTCCCCTTAGTCTTCATTTCCACATTTTAAAAATCTTCAAATCCTTTTTGAAGTAAGTGGAATAAACAAAGCAGAACAAAAAGAGAACAGGAGAGAATGTGTGGGAGGGAAGGACAAAAAGCATAGGTTGGTGAGCAGGGCAGAGACCAACTATATCAACTACAGATAGTAAGAGCAAAAGGAAACCTCAATCACAGAATCAACTACATACCAAAAGGAATGAAAAACAGCAAAGGAGCCTTGGATTGGTACTGACTAAGCACAGCACTGCCTGCTAGGCTTCTGGCAATACAGTTCTGTCAGGACCAGTAGGGGATGCTGGAGGCCTGGAGAGGTGGCTCTGAGCTAGGTTTGAGGGGTTAAAAGTGGCAGAGAGTTACCGCAGGTATATCCAGTATGTGTTTGAAACATCTCTGGTTCTCTGTGCGTGGAAAACTGTTCAGCAGGATCTGGTAATGGGTAGATTCATCCCACAGGGTGAAGCTCACCCGTAGGCGGTAGGCTTCCAGGATCTCCACGGTGATGTTGGGATCCCATAGGCTGCCTGCCCAGGGCACAGACACAGGCTGGGAGTGAGGAAGGGGCAGGTGTGTGTACCCAAGTAAAGTTCCCCTGCCAAGGACACCAGACATAGTTACCTGAGCTCACACACGGCCTGGTTTTCTTCATCCTGGGTTCCTCACAGTCTACACACCCAGAAAAAAATGAAACCATTAAGCCTCTGCCTTATAAAGTTTGCTCTTCTTCCAGAATGCTGACACCAGAGATAACCACCTTTTCCTTCTGGGGAACCTGTTCAAGGATGGCCCCTTCAAAGCAAGCTCCAGGACTGGACTGTGGTCGCTGGCCAAAGGTCCCAGAACACTGGGGCTGAGCTGGTTGTCTCATCCCTCCTCTCTCAGGGAACCCTCTAGATTTAAGTGTATTTCTCCTGAGCTTGTTCTGGATGACCAAAGAGTCTTGGCCACTCCTGTTTCATCTCTCCCCACTGCAGCTTCCTCTCTAGGTTGCCTCTGCCTTTTTATGAGGGGAGAACTTTTTTCTCCGTTCCTTCATGGCAGTGTTTCTCAAACTTTTGTGTGCACCATCTTCAGTAGTTTCTGATTCAGCAAGTCTGAGGTGGGTCCTGAGAATCTGCATTTCTAACAAGTTTCCAGGTAATTCAACGATGCTATTGGTTCCGGGGACTACCTTAAGGACTGCTGCATAGATATCTTCTTGATCTCCTTTCCCAACTTCCTTGACTGTAATGTTTTTACTTTGGTTTAAGAAGACACATAACAGGTATAAATTGCCGGGGAGTGACAGGGACTGAATCAGTCCACTTTAGGGACAGGGGAGGGGACTGGGGATATTCACTCATTCGACAAATACTTATGGAGCTCCCAGTATGTGCCAGGCATCGTTTTAAGAATGGAAGACACAGTGGTAAGACAAAGTCCCTGTCCTCCAGAGATTACATTCTAGTAGAAGAGACTAATAAAAACAAATAGCATAATATGTCACAAATATATTATAAAATGTCAGGGAGTAATGAGTAAGAAAGAGGAGGGTATGCAGAGTGTGTGTGTGTGTGTGCAGGAAGTTGCTCCACAGATGAAGGTCATTATCATCCTAACAAGCATTTCCTGATCACCTACTACATGCAAGCCAGTTTGTGAGGTTCTAGTGATGGCACAAATGGGTATAAGATCCAGACCCTGTCTTCAAGGAGGCTGGTGTTCCAGATGTAGTTGATTTTGAACAATAAAAAGTGTTGTAAGTTGTGGCTGAGATTCTGGGGAGGACAGAAGGTGCACCTTGAATGCTGCTTTTGAAGATAAATCTGGCAGTATTCATAGGCAGGGGGATTAGTGGGGGAAGAGGAGATGGTATCATTCATGGGGTGGTGTTAGATAAGCACAGGCAGGAACTGGGCTGGAAGTGAAGGACAAGGTGATGGAAGCTGGGACAAGGCTGGGAGCTGGGGTAACAACTCTCCCAAGAGTGGCTTGTCTTCCTGATATTTCCTGGGTAGAAAGCATGCTTCTCTAGACAGGGAGGAACTCCAGTTCCCATAAAACTCCTGGGGTCTTGGGTCAATATCCACTGTTTGTGCCAACAGAGAACAGACTGTGCCTTCAGGGAGTAGAGGCTGCAGCCACATACCAAAGGGCTCCCCATCCCAGGCATCTGTTTGTTCTGTGGGTACCACATGCTGACAATGGCAGCCAATGTCTAGCTAAGCAGGGAGGCTGAAGTCTGGGCCACTTGCTGGTTTCTTCTGCAGAGCCATGTGGTGAAGGAAGGGTTTGGTAGGGCGTTCTTACCTGGTACGAGGAAGTTCCTGGACTGGTGGTTTGGGTCCCCATCAGGGATGGGCTTGGGCAGGTGGTGAACGGTCACTTCATATTCCTGACCAGGTTCTACCACAAAGTGGCTAAAGGTAAAACGCCACTGAAGAGAAGGGAGGAAGGGGAGGTTGGACAGGTGACACACCATACCTCTCACACAGCTGTGCCCAGAGAACCCCACCTTACCCACCTCAAAAGATCAGTCAAAATAAGAAGAAATAACCATAAGATCCAAAATCAGTAGCTTCTGTATCTTTGCTCTTTGTTTCTTCTGGTCTTTCCTTCCTATTTCAAAAAAACTTAGATCTGGCTTCATCAATATAGTGTCATATACATGAGAATCTGGGGAAAGCCCTCCTCCTCCATCAGCCCTCTCAAAATGCAGAACAATGGTGTCAGGGAGCTGAGCCAGGACTTGGGGCTATTGGAGAGTTGGCACAACAGAGGCAGCTAAAAACTATTGGTTAATTGACTCTTCCTCCTTAAATGGGAAAGCCAGATCTCTTGAGATTGTTCTGGAGCACAAAAGTGCAGAGGGAAGGCTAGAGAGAGCCCTAGTTATCCTGGGCCTCCAGGCACCTTTGATGCAGAGATGACAGAATGTGAGTGGAGAAATTTTCTGGAGGGTGCAGATAACAGATACTGACTTCAGCTTCCATTCTAATTATCTGGTGGATAGGGGTGGGGTCCTTTGCTTCTAAGGCACCTGGTCCTCACCACACACCTAACACTCAAGTTTGGGAGCCCTAATTAAATATGAGAGGGAAATCTGTCTTTGCTGCCTATGTTTGTGGGAGATCTGCAAATGGCCACTTTTTGCAGATTTAAACCAGCAATTTCCAAACTGGAGCTTACATAAGAATCACCTGGTGGGCTTGTAGAAGGACTGCTGGGCCCCACCCTAGAGTTTCTGATTCAGCAGGTCTAGGGTGGGGCCCTAGAATCTGCATTTCTAACAAGTTCCCAGGTCACGGCTGATGTGCTGTTCTAGGATACTTTGAAAACAACAGCTTTAAACAAATTCAGTGAGAATCAACATTTTACCATCTGGCCGTAAACAGCAAAGTGAGCTGAAATTGTGCAGAACTTATTTGCTTGTGCCCCACCCATTGCAGTTCTCTGGTCTGGGCAAAGTTGTTTCCTTCTGAAGGCAGGGCCCAGATTAATCTCAGTTACAAATAAAGATGGCAGGAGGCAGGGCTGGGGAAGTCCTCTCCCCATTCAACTTTCTTTATAATGACTAGCTAGGGAAGGATGGAAGGAAAAGCAGGGGCTGGCATGTCTGAGAAGTTTTCAAAAACATCTTCTGCTCCTCATGATCATCAGAGGAACATAATCCACCCAGGAGCTTGATTCTTACCCGCTTGTGATGATGCTGAAGTTTGGAGAGAAACTCAAACTTGACACACAAACGTTCATTGGTGTTCAGCTGCAGGACAGATAACTCTGCACCTTCCAGGTAGAGGATGCTGGCTGAAGACCAAAGGGAGGAGGAGAGACACAGATGTGGATGAACGAGACAAACCACTGGGTGTGTCACTTCCCTGTTGGTTAGGCTTGCTCACTCTTAAAAGAAAATCTGCTCATCTTACCTAACCCTCCCCTTCCTGTTCCTTCCAGCTCACTCTTGGGCCTAAGTTAGCGACTGCCCTGCAGATAGTTACTTCTCACCTAGACAAGGACAAGCAACACTTTACACTGGGATAGAAGTAAAAGCTTTGCAAGTCTGTGGCTAAGGTGTTGGCAACAGGGCACAGTGTCTCCTATGGCCACTTCACCATCCTTAAAGAGAGTGCAATAGCAGCAGGAGCTGGGGACTTACAAAAAGAACTCCCCCAGCCCTGGCTGGTGTGGCTCAGTGCTTAGAGCACCGGCCCACACAATGAAGGGTCGCAGGTTCGATTCCCAGTCAAGGGCACGTACCTGGATTGCGGATTTGTTCCCTGCCCCTGGTAGGGGCACAAGCAGGAGGCAACCAATCCATGTGTCTCTCTCATATCGATGTCTCTCTCTCTCCCTCCCCTTCTCCCCCTCTCTTCCACTCTCTCTGAAAAGCAATGGAAAATATATCCTTGGATGAGATTAACAGCAACAAAAAGAACTCCCCCAGACCTTGTTCACAAACCTAGGGCTGGCTCTTGTTAACCCCAACTTCCTCAATTCTGTAATACAACTCTCTATCCCTAAGAGGTGCGGGGTGGGGGTGTCATTTTAAGAAATGGTAGTCTCTAAATTAAGGGAAAAAGCAGGTTGGCAAATGTGTTCACCATTTTTCCAGTAAATATTTGGTACTGCAGTCACAGAATCAACCATGTGACTTTTTTTTCTGGGGTGATAAAGATTTAAGGTTGAAGGAAGGCTTTCATGAAGGATGGTGGGATGAGAATGTATCATCGTGGACTAATATCTAAAACACTGAAAACGTGTTCACTGCATGATATGATGTATCCTTTCAGCACTAATTTGGGCCCTCATGTCTGAGCACAGGACTGGGAACCTAATTCTCAGTCTAATGGGAGAGCCAGATGGTCTAGTCTGTGGATTCACCTAGAGGTGGCAGAATCCCACAGGTCCCATTGATATGCACACTCACCATCCGTCTGCAGTGTCCATTCGATGTGAACCACAGGGACAGAGTCTCCATGCTGGGTATGGGCAAAGTGCAGCTGGACCTGGACATCTTTTGGGGATGAGGGGGTCAATTTTCGAGGTTGGATCCAGCTGTCATCCAGGCAGGTACCTGGAGGCCACAAAAAGCAGACATCAGAGACTTGCATGCTCTGCAAGAAACTGAAGCAAGCAAGCAAGATGCAAGCAAGATGCCCAGTGGTATGTCCAGAGAGGTGGACCTTAAATGTTAGGGGCGGGGTTCTCAGCTTTCCCTCCCTGCCCCCCCCTTTTCTTGTGCTTGTCCAGGGTCACTGCAAAGCTTTGAAGTCTTAAGAGCATATCAGGAAAGAACACAAAGTATGCAACTTGGTTTTGAGATGAAGCAGTGGTTGGAAATGGGAACAAAGAAAGAGTGAGGTAGTGGTAAGAGTTGCTTTACTTTTATACACTAGGGTCCCTAATTAGCACAGACACTTGAAATATATATGCCTCTTTCCTGAATTAAAACACACAACAAAATCAACACCACAAATGTCTCTCACGTTACAGTGACAAGCTCTGGAAATTCAAGCTGGATTACTGACATACCAGGGCAGCAAATCAAGGATAACCTCAAAATCCAAAGGACAATTCAGCTTCTTACTTCCTGACTTTGGATAATGAATATATATAATTTTTAAAGATTTATTATTGATTTTTAGAGGAAGGGAGAGAGAGAGAGAGAGAGAGAGGCACCAATGTGAGAGTAAAACATCAATCAGCTGCCTCTTGCACCCCTCCCCTCCCACCAGGGATCAAGCCCACAATTTATGCATGTGCCCTGGCAGGATATTGAACCAGTGACCCTTCAGTGCTTGGTATGACAACAAACTGAGCAACGCAGAGGATATTTCTTTCTGTTGCTTTTCAGAGAGAGTGGAAGGGGGAGAGAGACACAGAGAGAGAGACAGACAGAGAGGTCAATGAGAGAGACACCTTGACTGCTTGCCTCCCGCATGTGTCCCAGCCAGCACCAGGGATGGAGCCTGCACCCAAGGTATGTGCCCTTGGCCAGAATCGAACCTGGGACCCTCAGTCTGCAGGTCGATGCTCTAACCATTTAAACAAACTGGCTAGGGCAGGATAATGAATATTCTTGATAGGAAGCACAGGTGTGTGTATCCAAGGTTCTCAGAGGTACCTCCTGTTAGAAGGTGCAACCCTCATCCCAGACTGGAAGAGGAAGGCAGCACTTTTGTCAGCAATCAGCATGAGGTTAGCACTTTATTATCAAAGCAACAAGAACAAAAAAAAAGATGACTTACTATTCTTGACTGTGCAGTTTAGCCCCTGTGGGAAAAAAGAAGATAATTACAGCTGGGCTCCAGACCTTTTCCTCTGGCTCATTCTCAAGAATGAAATACACATGGCCCTGCCTTCTCACTTTTGGGGACCAGTCCTCACACTTTTCTCAACCTACCCAACTGAGGAGAAACAGGATGAGAAGTGGGGATAGTGGATAACAAAACAGAACTGGTGTTTTCTGAGTAACCGTTAGGAGCTGGGAACCTTCCAACTTTAAAAGACACTGAGAGGGTTCCCCTGGGGTGCCCTGGTGACAAGCATCAGACCCCTTGAGGCTTCCAATCTTTAGTCTGGAAACAGTGCTAAAAGAGTGGAGAGCAAAAACTCCAGTCCCTGCTACAAGAATTTCACTAAGTCCCTACAAATTCTCTAGGGAAGACGTGCCAGTCCCTGTTCTGCATGAGTTATATACTATATTGTCTCACGAATCCTCATAAAATCACCCGAGTTGAGTCGTCTTAAGAAATATAACATTGCCAGGACTTGATTTGAACTGTAAAATCAGAATAACCACAATACCAACTTTATAGCGTTGTTGAGAATTAAATGATACAAATGCAAATAAAGATTTTGGGATAGGGAGTGCTGGTAGTGATGGTGGTGTGTGTACAGTGCTTTTCACTTCTAATCTGTCTGTATTATGAAAAATTTCCAACAATGGGCATGAATTTGTGTTACTAGTTATACAATTAAGTGAAGTAATACATGCTCCCACACTGTTAAACAGGAAACTTAATAGAAGCCCTAGGAGAATCATTATGAGGAATTCTATTGGCTGCAGTACCCAGAGAACCATCTCACTGCCTGCTAAATGAGACTAAATTTGTTCAATGTCTGGACATCCTGGCTGCTCTTTAATTATTGGTTGCCCTTCTTATACTAAGTGCTCAATAAATGGAAGCTATTATTACACAGGGTGACCTCCACACATTCAAACTTGGCAGTACAGCAAAGGAGAACTCAGGCTCAGGTACTTTCAGTTATCTTAGGTAAAATGGACCAAACACATCCAGTGGTGCAGAAAGTCTGATGTTGAAGTGGACCAGAAACATGATTTTAAGAACAGAGAGATTTAGTATATGCGTGTAAATAGGGCACTGGGGTTGGCACTTGCCTTTCTCTCAAGAGGGAGCAGGGAAGCAAGGTTAAGGAATGGGAAATGACACTGTTCTACTAGGGTTCATTCACAAAGTGGAGGAAGAGATAATGTCCTGGAGCACGCTCCAGGAGTGATTATAAGCATGCCGTTTCATCTGTAGCCTACCTTTCTGGGATACCAGTTCATCTTGGGGTCTAGACTTTCTGTATCCCCAGGAGGGGGCATGCAGGAGGCAGCTGATTGATGTTTTTCTCTCTCACTCTCCCTAAAATCAATAAAACATATTTAAAAATAAATAAAATTTAAAAAATGAAAATGCAGTCAGCTAATTAACAATGATGCCGGGCCCTGGCTGGCATCTCTCAGTAGTTAGAGCGTAGGCCCAGGGACCAAAAGGTCATGGGTTTGCTCCTGGCCCCTGGTCCGGGTGTGAGCGGGAGGCAACCAATCAATGTGTCTCTTTCACATTGATGTTTCTCTCTCTACCCCTCCCCCGCTTCCACTCTCTCTCAAAAAAAAATCAATGGAAAAAATATCCTTGGGTGAGGATTCACACACCAAAAAAATGCTGGGTCTCCTGTAATTCCTGTGATTGATGGAAATAGCTTGGTATTTAATACTGTTTTTGGTCTTGTTTTTTTTTAATTGTTGTTAAAATATAATTTTTGATAGGAAGGGAGAGGGATAGAGAGATAGAAACATTGATGATGAGAGAGAAACATCATTGATCAGCTGCCTCCTGCATGCCCCCTACTGGGGCTCGAGCCCACAACCCAGGCATGTGCCCTGACTGGAAATCAAACTGGTGACCTCTTGGTTCCTAGGTCGGTGCTCAACCGCTAAGCCACACCGCCAGGCTGGTCTTGGTTTTTTTACTGTCATTGTTGTATGTACGTATTTCGTTACAGTTTTTATATAAAACAACTCCTGAACCTCACCAAATACCTCTCCAGCATTTATTGACATAATTTTGTCCTTTATTGATATAATGAATTATGTTGATAAATATGCTGATAATGGACCAATTTTGAACTCTTGGAATAAATCCTACTTGATTATGGTGCACTATTCTTTTGATATTCTACTATTAAATTTACTAATATTTTATATAGAATTGTTTGAATTTATATTCATGAGATTGGTCTGTAGATTTCTCTTTTTGTATATAACTTACCAAGGTTTAGAATTAAGCTTTGTTAGCTTTAAAAAATACCTTTCCCTCTTTTTCTGTGGTATTGAATACCCATCAATAGGGTATGGCTGAACAAAGTAAGATGTAATTTAAATCTCAATGTCCATTAAAACAGAAATGGTTAGCCCAGCCGGCATTGCTCAGCAGTTGAGCACTGACCTAGGACCCAGGAGATGGCGGTTCAATTCCCAGTCAGGGCACATGCCCGGGTTGTGGGCTCGATCCCCAGCAGGGGGCGTGCATGAGGCAGCCAATCAATGACTCTCTCATCACTGATGTTTCCATCTCCCTCTCCCTTCCTCTCTCTGAAATCAATAGACATATTTAAAAAACAAACAACCAACAATCCCAGAAATGGTTAGATTGCTATCTACTATGGAATATGCAAATATTAAAGAGCATTAGTTATATAGATGTCTACTGACATGGAGTGGTGGCTAAAATGTGTTGAAGAGTGAGAAAAATAAGATGCAAAAAACTTTTTATTGTAGAACCCAATTTTCTATGGAAATATGTGATGAAAAATCCTCCTTGTATATTTATATATGTTCGAATATGACTGTATGAGCACAGAAAAACATGTGAACAGATATATATCAGACACACTGGTTACTGGGGATGAAGGAACGGAAGAGATGGAGAGAGGGACGATAAGGGGGAAAGGATGTAAACAAAACAAAAATATGCATTTAAGTGAAATATAGAATAAAAAATTCCATTCGAGGTCACACAATGTTGACATGTATACATATTATCTTCTCCCCCTCCTCAAACCACATGAAAGTATAGGAAAGAGAAATTTTTTAAAAAATATGTTTTTATTGATTTCAGAGAGAGAGGAAGGGAGAGGGAGAGAGATAGAAACATCAGTGATGAGAGAGGCATTGATTGGCTGCCTCCTGCACAGCCCCTACTGGGGCTCAAGCCCACAACCCAGGCATGTGCCCTGACTGGGAATCAAACTGTGACCTCCAGGTCCATAGGTCGATGTTCAACCACTGAGCCATGCCAGCTGGGCAGAAAGAGAAAATTTTTATAACTCCTTAACGACAAAGATATGTGAACAAATTTTAAAAAGATAAAGTGGCGCCCGGCCAGGCGTGGCTCAGCGGTTGAGCATTGACCTATGATCCAGGCGATCGGGGTTTGATTCCCGGTCAGAGCACATGCCTGGGTTGCGGGCTAGGCAGCCGATCAATGACTCTCTCATCATTGATGTTTCTGTCTCTATCTCTCCCTCTCCTTTCCTCTCTCTGAAATCAATAAAGATATGTATTTAAAAAAAAGAAACGTTTAAAAAAACACATGATAAAGTGGCGCCCGGCCGGCGTGGCTCAGCATATGAGCATCAGCCTATGATCCAGGAGATCAAGGTTCGATTCCCAGTCAGGGCACGTGCACGGGTTGGGGGCTCCATCCCTAGTGGAGGGGCCTGCGGGAGGCAGCTGATCAATGATGACTCTCTCATCATTGATGTTTCTCTCTCTCTTCCTCTCTCTGAAATCAATAAAGATATATTTTAAAAAACACGATAAAATGGAGACTGACTTAGGCCAAGGGGAGGAACGTCAATCTTAGCACTGCAGAAGGGAGATGCAGACAAGAAAGAGGCCACATGCTCATTAGAACCCTTCTAAGAATTAGGTCTTAAAGGTATCAGGTACTTGGGAGGTATAGTGTAACACAGGCAGGGTTTGGGGGTTATGTGAAGATCTACAGATGGAATTTGGTTCAGGAACCTTAGCCTCTCTTTCCCAGCCCTGATCTCAGAATGCCAGTGCCAAGCCCAGGGAAAGGACATCCAGATTTGGACATCTGAGGGTCAACCAGTAGATAGGCCAGGTTTACCATGACCCTGATCCCTATAGTAACCCAATGATCAATAAACTCTATACAGAGCAATCAGCCTTTTAGGCCTCTTATTTTAAGATTATTTTTAACAATCTCAGACAGCCAAAGAGTACCAGATATTTGAGAAGGGTTTCCTGTGTGAAAAGTAGATCAAAACAAACAAATTTTTAAAATATTCTTGAAAGAAAAGAGACAATGTTGGGAACAGAATAGAATTTTTAAAAAATCATAATAGTTTCAAAGAGGTTAAGAGAGGACACAGCAACCATATGACAAGGACAGGATACTGTGCAAAAATGAGCAAGCAGCCCTGGATGGTTTGGCTCAGTGCTTAGAATGTCGGCCCTCTGACAGAAGGGTGAAAGGGTCACAGGTTCAATTCCTGGTCAAGGGCAGGAACCTGTCATAGGTTCAATTCTCAGATCCGGTTAGAGAGCATGCGGGAGGTAATCAATCAATGTGTCTCTCTCACATCAATGTTTCTCTCCCCCGCCACCTTCCACACTCTCTGGAAAAAAACAAACAAACAAAAAAAACCAATGGAAAAAATATCCTCAGGTAAGGATTAAAAAAAAAAGAAAGAAAAATGAGCAAGCAGAGAATAAAAATGAACCTTGAAAATAAAAAGTTCCACAGAAGAGTTGGGCTATAAAATTCAGAAAACTTGTCTGAAAATAGAACAAATACAAACAAAAATAGAAGAGAATATGTGATTATTAGAGAAGTCAGAAAATACAAGGTATGATTAACTGGATTGCCAGAAGAAGATTACAGGGAAAATAGAGGGGAAGAAATTATTAAAAATAAAATATTCTAGAAGTAAAGGACACATATGTTCAAATT